ATGTAAAACTGCAAATAACTAGTTATCACCAAATATCCAGTGTTTTTTAAAGTTAGAGATGGCTTTTTCAAACCTTCACAAAGTGTAATTAAATTTAGCAAAGCAACAGAACAAAACATTGTTATTAAGTGATATCAATTTTAATAAAGTATTGGATAGTTGATGATATTTCAGTTGTGGAACAATATAAACATGCCCTCAGAGTTTCAAAAATTAGAAAACCATTTACAAAAATGTTTGATACAATGTTTTTATCATGTTTTATACTTGTAAAGTTACTTTCCAGCTACTATTGCTAAGTAAGGTCGCATCAAGTTGTTAAAATAAACACCCAAAAGTAACCAGATCAAATATCAATTTGTCTTTTAGAAAAGTTTAATTTAGAATATCATGAATTCAATAAATTTAACAAGTTCATAGAAAGCAATACAAATTTTATTATTCCTTTATAGCGATATTTCTCTTCGTCGTTAATGTTTTGCGTGTTTTTGATTCCCTTTTATAATTTTTACACCTTCAAACATTTTAAATATAATAATATCATTGAAATATGTGACTTGGTCGAGTAGATATAAACGAAGTAAAAAGGTACATCTTCAAGCGCAATCACTGTATTTTCGGTATTCTGGGGCTTTCCAATATGGCGGCCGTACAAAATATTGGCTTCACTTTTGATATTAGAGATGCGCTATCCAGTTATTATAGAGATCAGTGAACAGTAGCCATAATAAAAACGTAAACACAACAAATTTAAATTATATTGCAACGCATGTTAGTATAACTTATACTATAAAGTGAACTATCAAACTATTATTATTGTTTACATTGCAATGTAAGGGCTTAATTGCATTTTTTTCTATATTTTTGTTCTAAAGTTCAAGTTATCGGAAAAATAATAGCCATAGAAACAGATAAAATGGTTCAACTAAGCTAAGAATGTTTGAACTAATGGTTGTTCGAAATATCAAGTTGTTTTTATGTGAAAGTATTAGTGAGGGTTCAAGGGGAACTCAAAAGTAGTTTAAGTTACTGGAAGTTATATATATATATATATATATATATATATATATATATATATATATATATATATATATATATATATATATATATATATATATATATATATGTGTGTGTGTGTGTGTGTGTGTGTATATATATGTGTGAATATATGTGTCTATATATGTGTGTGTGTGTGTGTGTGTGTGTGTGTGTGTGTGTGTGTGTGTGTGTGTGTGTGTGTGTGTGTCTATATATATATATATATATATATATATATACAGATATATATATATATATATATATATATATATATATATATATATATACATATATATATATATATATATATATATATATATATATATATAGTATTGGACAAAACATTTGCAACCAACATTGCAATTGCAAACAACTGTATATATATATATATATATATATATATATATATATATATATATATATATATATATATATATATATATATATATATATATATATATATATATATATAAATATATATATATATATATATATATATATATACAGTATTGGACAAAACATTTGCAACCAACATCGAACAATGCTAAAAAGTGTTCCTAATTTAACATGTCTTAAAAACTAAACAAACTATACTACCACGGCAAACAGTTCAGGAGACTGGAGTCATAGCATGCCATGATATTTCGTTGACAAGTGCCATTTTGCAGCGGACAAAACAAGTGCAACTTTTTTGGTTTGCTTCATTTTCTCAAGTCTGGTCCGTGTCAACGTCAAGGAAGTTTTTTAATAATTAAAGGAAATAACCCAGAAACTTCCAGAAATATGCAGAAGCTTCCGGAAGTTTCCAGAAGAAGCATCTGGAAGCATCCAAAAGTATCCAGAAACATTCAGAAGCATCCAGGAGCTTCCGGGAGCATCGGGGGGAAGCGTTTGAAGTCTTCCAGGGCAGGTTCACACGGGTTCATTTTACTATATAAGAGACACGTAAACCGACATTTAATTCAGTGAGTATATGGAAGTCAATCAGTCAGTATTATCAAGACGGTTTATCGAAGTGAGTTTTATCAAAGTGTTTTATCGAAGAACATCAATACAAGAAGTGAAATACAACAAGTGTTTCATTACATCAATACAGTCAACATCCAACCAAGACATTATGTTCCACAGGGCATTATTGTATCATCACAAGGTAAATGTAACACGGTAAGCCTTGAGAAAGGAAATTATTGGCGATTACGTGGGTGGGATGTCGCAAGGGGGTGTTTGTGGTGGGTGTCGCGTGGAGGAGGGTGCGCTGTATCGGGGCTATGTTTCAAATATTGTTCTACAGGGATGTTGGCAGCAGATAACAAAGATGGAAGACCGCATTCCACAACTTCTAGAGAGGATTCTATGATCGTCAGATCTGTCAAGAAGGATATCTGGATATTATCAGTCAAGATAAAAAAGCAATTAGAGCTGCCTGTATCGGCCCGAACAATCAGACGACGTGCTGCTGAAG